GCCCTGGTGCAGAAGGTTTGGGATACCACTTGGCCTTTGGTGCATAAAGCCCAAGGAGGGATTCCAAGAGCTCTTCTAACTATGGTTCTTGCCCCAAAGAACATCAAGAAGTCAGCAGCACAGGAGCTCAGTCACCAGGAGGCTTGCTCAAATGCACCCTGCTCTTCAAGTCCAGTGTGGCTCAGAGTTGCCATTCCTCCTGCTAGGCATGCCTTTCCTTGCTCTCCTTGCCCTGATACACAGAATATTACTCATTCTTAAAGACCAAATTCCTGAAGTCAAAGATGAACAGTTGGTCTCACTCACTTCTGCCTCTGAACGCTCCATCTTGAATTCATCTCACTTGCTCTCCATCCCTTCAGTCTGTAGGAACATATGCCTAACACTGAGTTTAGGACACTTGGCATATCACAAATATTTCTCTCATTCCCTTATTCAGAAATCACTGGGCACTAACTCTATGGCCCACTGTGTTCTAATATGTGGGTACATGGCCACAAAACCAGTGACCCCAAATGTGTGCTCTCTGGAACCTCCACCCTAGTGGGAAATTGCTCCTCATCTCTTTCCCCACCACTGTTTGCATCAGATGAGCCTAACTGCACTCAACAAGGATTCCAGGAACAAGTAGCATCTGAGTGGGGCATGTTTTCATGAATGAATAAATCACCTTCACTTTTCAGTCTTTGAAGTGTGGAGCAAAACAAATGCCTAAAGTCATTAAGGTCACCACAAAGTTCTACCTCCTACACCACCGCCTTGGAGACTGGGCATCCAGTCTTTAAAACAAGGAGACACTTTATCCACCAAAGATCAAGCTTAATGCCTCCAAGGCACAGGGAGGAATTACTTCCTAGGAAAGAGATCTACTAAGCTGAGATAAACCACACTCACAAAGCCCCATCCAGATCTTTCTCCATGGCACTTCCAGCAACTGATTCCATTTAATATGACTTTTTTCCTCACACTGATTTCCTTTGGCTCCTTTATGTGGTCCACCTGCATCTCATAAGCCCTATATATTCACACATACTTTTTTTTTTAATCTTTGGGGGGTTTTATTTATTTTTATATGGTGCTGAGGTTCAAACCCAATGCCTCACACATGCAAGGCAAGTGCTCAACCACTGAGCTACACCCCAGCCCCTACTCATAC